ACATATGGAACCTTTATGCATGTGATCGTAAATGTGGTTCCATTCCTCAGGTGAGATTGAAATTTCTAGATCATGCTGCCAGGCTGCACAGGCCTTCAGTGAGTGAGATGTATTGGAACTTTCCAATAGGGAATATAATTTGGATATTACATGCCTCTGTGGGAGATCTGTAAAGCAGAGTTTTTCGAAAGCAGTAAGCGGTCTTGAATAATCCTTTAGATGTGGGGAGTTACGTAGAAAATGGTGGATTTGTCTATACATCCAAGGCGTTAAGGTAAGGGCTGGCCACGCCTTTGTAATGTCTTCTCTAGATCGGAGCTTAGAATCTTTGAGAAATTGACGTACTGTTAGGTTATCTTCCCGTCTATACCCAGCGAGAAAGGTCGTAGACATCCCTGGAATAAAGTCCGGGTTCAATTTGATCGGAGTGAAAGGGCTCGGAGAGGAAGAAAGTACTTTTTCCTGAAACACTTGCGCGCTACATCGTAAAGTGGGACCTATAAGTGGGTGCATCCGAAATTCAGAAGGGACATGGGCGGTTTTCAGCCATGGGGAGGTGGAAAGTGGTATCTTCGAAAAATCAGCCTCCAAACCGACCCAGATCTTATGAATGTGATTCGTGGTCCAGTCTACTAATCTGGCTAGGTGGCAAGACCTGTAGTAACGAGAAATATCCGGTAATCCAATACCTCCATTCTTCTTGGACATAGTGAGTTGGGTGAAGCTGATTCTTGGGCATTTATTATACCAAAGAAAAGAGGAGCAGAGCGTTTTATATGATTGAAAGAATGAATTTGGTAATTGAATTGGTATTGTTTGTAGTAAATATAATATTCTGGGGAGCACGTTCATCTTAAGTATGGCTGCTCTACCAAACCAAGAGAACCAAGGTTTATTCCACATCTGAAGGTCTTTGGAAATGTTACGTAAGAGGGGTAGAAAATTTGTTGCATATAGTTCGGTAAGATGGGATGGTAGTTGGATACCTAAATAAGTGATAGTTTCTCGTTGCCAGGTAAAGGGAAAATTTGATGTCGCTTGTTTAACCACCTCCGGTTTTAATGATACATTAAGCCTTGGGATTTAGAAAAGTTAATTTTGAAGTTAGCCAAATACTGAAATAATTTGAAATCCTGTAACAAATTAGGTATCGTGATATGAGGATCTGTCAGGAAAAGCAGTATGTCGTCAGCAAAGGCTGCCACTTTATGCGTTTTGCCATTGATTAAAATCCCTTTAATGTTGGCATTATCTTTGATGCAATTCAATAAGGGTTCCAGTGTAAGAATGAATAGGAGAGGTGACAGAGGGCATCCCTGTCTGGTCCCGTTGCTGATCAGAAAAGAGTCTGATAGGTGTCCGTTCACTCGCACTCGCGCTGTGGGGGCTTTATATAGAGACATAATATAGGTCAAAAAGCGCAAAGGCAGTCCAATGCCAATCAAAACTGCCTCTAGGTAATCCCAAGCTAGTCTGTCAAACGCCTTCTCGGCATCTAAAGAGAGAAAGAATCCGGACTGTTGATTTTGGGTTAACCAATGATGTATATTTATGGCCCTTATTGTGTTATCTCTGGCTTCTCTTCCCGGAACAAAACCCACCTGATCCGGAGATATGATGGATTCTATAACATGTAGTAGACGATTAGCCAGAATCTTGGCAAAGATCTTCAGATCAACATTTCAATAGGGAAATTGGTCGGTAGTTCGCTGGGGACGTGTGATCCTTATTCTCTTTGGGTATAACCGTAATGTGAGCCTCGGAAAGATTGCGCATGGACTGCCCCGGAGTGTTTAATGACTTGAAAGCCTGGAGAAATGGGAGTGCTAATACGTCAAGAAAAGATTTGTAATAAGAATTAGTAAAACCGTCAGGTCCTGGACTTTTACCAGGTTTCAACTGCATAATAGCTTGTTGTAGTTCCGCTAACGTCAGAGCACTCTCTAAATCTTTTGCTTGAGAGTGGAGTTTATATATAGGATGGAGAAACTATATCATATTGGAGAGGACAAAACTGAAAAATGTAAGAAAACTTGGGATAGATGGAAAGATTTTAAAAGATCCAAGAGATATTCAGAACTGATTGGAGTATAAAGGAGGGGAAGAGGCTAGGATAGGAATAAGGGTTCCTTTAGTCTTTGGTAGGTAGGAAAAGAAGAAGAAAAAGGAAATGGTAGGAGGTGGCTGGATGCAAGGGGGGGGGAGGAGGAGGGAGGGAGGGGAAGATAATATGTAAAATATGTTATGGAAATTGTGATTTTAATGTTTTGAAAATTTGTTGTATTTATAATGTAAAATTAATAAAAATATAATAATTAATTTTTTTTTTAATTAAAACAAAACAATCCAAATTAATTTGAAGTGCAGACTTTCAGCTTTAATTCAAGATGTTGGAACATATCAAGTACAAATTTTTGGAACTGCAACCATTTTTATACACAGTCCCTCCATTTTCAGGGGCTCAAAGGTAATTGGACAAATGAATATAATCATAAATAAAGTGTTCATTTTTAACATAATGTTGAGAATCATTTACTGGCAATAACTGCCTGAAGTCTGGAACCCATGTACATTACCAAAGACTGGATTTCCTCCTTTCTTATGCTTTGCCAGGCTCTAACTGCAGCTGTCTTCAGTTGTTCTTTGTTTGTGGCTATTTCTGCCTTTAGTTTTGCCTTCAGCAAGTGAAATGCATGCTCAATTGGGTTGAGATCAGCGATTGACTCGGCCATTGCAGAATATTCCACTTATTTTCCTTAAAAAAGCTCCTGGGTTGCTTTTGCAGTGTGTTTTGGATCATTAACCATCTGTACTGTGAAGCGCCGTCCTATCAACTTATCAGCATTTGGCTGAATCTGGGCTGACAGTATATCTCTAAGCACTCAAAACATTCATCCAGCTGTTTCACAATCGTGCACAGAAGAGGCAGACAGGGCCCTTATTTTGTTAAGAATTCTTCATGTTATCCCCTCATTCCCCCTCCCTCAGGAATGTAATCAGTGTATGTTGCTAAGTTCAAGAAGCCTGAGATCGCTGTCTATGCAATCCTCTTCCCAAATAAGGTAATTGGCTTGTCTGTTGTAAGAAGACACCAGATGATTTTGGGAAGAAAAGAGGCTGTTATGCTTTGTGTGTGAGAGAGAGAAAGCAGGGTCTCTGTCAGGAATGGACTTGCCAGAGGTGGTGGGACTCACCTGCCTTGTGGGCTGCAGTACCAGGGCTGGCCAGTGGGTGCTCTCAGCAACCAGAGGCTCACTCCTGCAATGAGCCATCACCTGAGGCTGATTACAACAGGTGTATTTAAGGAATGGCCAGGCCTGTGATCAGGGCCTTGGTGTATGTTTCCTGTGAGCCCCTGTACCTGCATCTTGTCTGCTTCCTGCCTTATCCTGATTCTGCTTTAATCCTGACTCTGCATGAACTCTGCCTGTCCTGACCTTGGCTATTCCTGACTGTGCTTCCGCCTGCTCCTTGTACCTTGCCTGCCCGCTTGCTACCGACCCGGCCTGCCCAACTACGTTTAGTATTGTTCTTATTGTTATCTGTTGGAGGTTTGGTTGCACTGTGTTTATGTTTAGTCTTGCACTGTGTTTATGTATTGTTTAGTCTTTAATAAAATGTATTGTTTATACTATACCTGGAGCCTGTGTTTCCCTGTGTCAGTCCACACATTTCTGGTCATACCCGGATCCCTAACAGAACACCAAGGCCATTCCTGACCAGAAGTGGCTGCACAGGGAAGCCATCTTGGCTTATTGTTGCTGGGAAGGATGCATCTTGATGAGGTGGTGTATTTGTCTCTGCTAGTCTTTGATGACAGAGATTATGCTTATCAGACTCTGAAGGAGTATACCAGAGATCAACTACTAGAATGCATAAGGATCGCTCATTGCCTAGTAGATCAGGGCACAGAGTTCTCTGAGGTGCAACCATTGATTCAGGTTTGTGCAGAGTTGGCTTCATCTGGTACCCCCGAATGCAAGGATGAATTTTTGCCGCCATTTAGTGCCGACCAGGTAGAGTCCCTGGTGTGGTTATTGGAGGATGATGTGGATTACTTCTTGGAGCGTTATTCTGCATGTTCACAACAGGTGCTAAGAGATTGTATAAACGCAGTGCAGTCTTTGACCAGACAGGCTTTGTGTAAGCTGAGCTTTGTTCAACCCATACTGCAGACATGGTCAGACTTGTTGCACCCAGCCCCAGTCAGCTTGCAACGTCATTCCTCTGCTCAAGGCACTCTTCCTGCATCCCCGACAGCACCCCCAGTGACGGCCCAGTATACTCTGCTAACTACCACATATCAGTCCCCTGCTCCCACTCGCTGCACCTATCCTATCTTTAACCCTGTAAAGAAGTCCTCTGTAGCAACTGCTCCCTCCATTGTTCCATCCCTCAGCTCTTCTCTGCCTGCAGCTGCTCTATCCACTTACAAACCTGCGCTTACTTCCTGCGCTCCAGTAACTAAAACCAGGAAAAAGGAAAATTCTTTCCAACCAATACCATCCTGCCAGTATCCAAACCGGTCAGCCTGCTGTCTGAGAACCCGCCTACCATGGTTCAGCCTGATACCCTGATGCCCGATGACCCAGTGTACCCTACCCAGCTTGAAGTGTCTACCCAGCCTGATGGTCCTATTATGCCAGATGACTCGGTGCCCGTTGTCGAGCCAGACGATCCAATGCCTGAGGACCTGGTGCCCACTGTCGAGCTAGATGACCCGATGCCTGATGACCCCGTGCCCGCTGTCGTGCCTGGTTAACCGATGCCCATTGTCGAGCTAGATGACCCGGTGCCCGCTGTCGAACCAAATGACCCAGTACCCGCTGTCGAGCCAGATGACCTGATGCTAGATGACCCGATGCCCGCTGTCGAGCCAGACGATCCAATGCCTGATAACCCGGTGCCTGCTGTCAAACCAGATGACCCGGTACCCGCTGTCGAGCCAGATGACCTGATGCCAGGTGACCTGATGCCCGCTGTCGAGCCAGATGACCCAGTGCCCACTGTCGAGCCAGATGACCCGTGCCAGATGACTCGGTGCCCGCTGTCATGCCAGTTGTCTCGGAGCCCGCTGTCGTGCCTGGTGACTCGGTGCCGCTGTCTTGCCAGATGACTCGGAGCCCGCTGTCCTGCCAGTTGACTCGGTGCCCGCTGTCCTGCCAGTTGACTCGGTCCCCGCTGTCGTGTCAGTTGACCCGGAGCCTGCTGTCGTGCAAGATGACTCGGTGCCGGCTGTCTTGCCAGATGACTCGGTGCCCACGGTCTTGCCAGATGACTCGGTGCCTGCTGTCTTGCCGGATGACTCGGTGCCCGCTGTCTTGCCAGATGACTCGGTACCCGCTGTTGTGCCAGATGACTCGGTACCCACTGTCATGCCAGATGACTCGGTACCCGCTGTCGAGCTTGGTGACCCGGTGCCCGTGGTTCTGCTAGATGGCTCGGTGCCTGCTGTCGTGCTTGGTGACCCAGTGCCCACGGTTCTGCTAGATGGCTCAGTGCCTGCTGTCGTGCCAGATGGCTCGGTGCCCGCTGTCGAGCTTGGTGACCCAGTGCCCGCTGACGTGCCAGATGACTCGATGCCCGCTGTCATGCCAGATGACTCGGTGCCCGCTGTCATGCCAGATGCCTCGGTGCCCGTTGTCGAGCTTGGTGACCCAGTGCCCGCGGTTCTGCCAGATGACTCAGTGCCCGCTGTCCTGCCAGATGACTCGGTGCCCGCTGTTGAGCTTGGTGACCCAGTGCCGCAGTTCTGCCAGATGACTTAGTGCCCACTGCTCGCCTGATGGCCCGTTGCCCGCTGCTCCACCTGATGGCCCGGTGCCCACTGCTCCGCCTGATGGCCTGGTACCCTCTGCTCCACCTGATGGCCCGGTGCCCGCTGCCTTGCCCACTGCTCCGCCTGATGGCCCCGGTGCCCACTGCTCCACCTGATGGCCCGGTGCCCGCTGCTCTGCCTGATGGCCCCGGTACCCCGCTGCTCCGCCTGATGTCCCGATGCCTGCTGCCTTGCCTGCTGCTCCACCTGATGGCCCGGTGCCAACTGCCCAGCCTGACGTACCAGCTCCTGATGCCCAGCCTGCTTCTGGAAATCCTGTGTCCAGCAATCTGCCTTCCTGCAGTCTCCTACAAAAAGATAGGCCTATCAGCAGGAGACCCAGCCAATCGCTTGATTCCGGCAGTGGGATGTCCAGCCAGTTGCAGGACCCAGGCGGTGGAACATTTGGGCCATTACGGACTGTTTGGAACATCCTAAGGCCGCTCCTTGAGGGGGGGTACTGTCAGGAATGGACTTGCCAGTGGTGGTGGGACTCACCTGCCTTGTGGGCTGCAGTACCAGGGCTGGCCAGCGGGTGCTCTCAGCAACCAGAGGCTCACTCTTGCAATGAGCCATCACCTGAGGCTGATTACAGCAGGTGTATTTAAGGAATGGCCAGGCCTGTGATCAGGGCATTGGTGTATGTTTCCCATGAGCCTCTGTACTTGCATCCTGTCTGCTTCCTGCCTTATCCTGATTCTGCTTTAATCCTGACTCTGCATGAACTCTGCCTGTCCTGACCTCGGCTATTCCTGACTACGCTTCCGCCTGCTCCTTGTACCTTGCCTGCCCGTTTGCTACCGACCCGGCCTGCCCAACTACGTTTAGTATTGTTCTTATTGTTATCTGTTGGAGGTTTGGTTGCACTGTGTTTATGTTTAGTCTTGCACTGCGTTTATGTATTGTTTAGTCTTTAATAAATTGTATTGTTTATACTATACCTGGAGCCTGTGTTTCCCTGTGTCAGTCCACACATTTTTGGTCATACCCGGATCCCTAACAGTCTCGCTGTAACATCGAAACTGAGTGAGAGACCAGAAATCCTTTTTGAGCTCATCAGACTTGAAACTGCTTAACCTCAGGCATCTTTTTGGCAAGTACTTATCTACCTAAACTTTGTTCTGTTATCTCTTTGCTGTGCTATTGTTTATATATATATATATATATATATATATATATTACATCTTTTTCCTGTAAATATGTTTATTGCACCCTTTTGACCTTTTAGTAATAAATATTACTTTCTAAAAGAGTTGAACTGTTTCTATAGCTCGTTAATGCAACTTATGAATTCCTGCCTCTAAAAGAGCGCTACTGTGTTTGTTTAACCCTCTGTATAACCTTTCTGTGGTGACCGTGCTATACAGACGGTTATCTCAACCCTCATAGTATTATTGCTGAGATTGCCGAGTTTCCTCTTTCTCTGTACAAAAAGGAGGTGGTGGCAGTGTGAAAGGTTAATTGCGTAATTTACCTGACCCAGTAACAATCACTCCCAGGCTGCCGGTACATCGATTGTGGTCCAATTAGCTGGAAAATTGTTGTGCAGGGTGCAGCTGGGCATGGCATTGTGATGCACGTGAAATCCCGGTGTTAGATTGGCTAGTCCTTCAGTCACGAGTTTGGTGAGAAGGTCAGGGGTCTGACGTCGTGTCAGGGCAGGAGCTGAGGAACGGACAGGCAGGCCTAACAATGTAACGCACTGGCTGACAACAACCACCACCCATAGACCGAAGTCCCTCAGGGCGCGGAGTCTAAGTCCCAGGCTGCCCTTCACCAGGGCCCCTGATGGTGGGGATGGACTTGACGCAGCCAGGAACCAGGTCGCGGCCCCCGAGACACCTCAGCTGCGGTAATGGCCGCCGCCAATGGCGTGTAGCTGGTGGAAGAGACAAAAGAGTAGTCAGACAAGCCAGGGTCAACAACAACAGGACAAAACAGTACAGGACAGCAGACGAGAATCACAGGTCACGAGCCGGGTTCAGCAACAGAGGGTCAGATCAAAGGAGAATACAAAGAATAGTCAAGTCACAAGCCGAATCAGATACCAGGAGAGTCACGAGAGTCAGAACAGAGTAATAGCAACACAAAGACACAAGACACAAGTGCAAAGAGCATGTGCGGGCCACAGGCTTATATGTCATCAGCCACACCCCTCTGGGGGATGGACCACAGAAACCTGAAGGCATAAAAGGATTCCCATCATGCACAGCAGAATCCAAGATGGACGCCAGCACATGGAGTAACATAACCTCAGGGAAAAGGTAGGACCTTGACAGTACCTCCTCCTCAAGGGCCCCTCCCCCTCCGCGGCTCAACAAAAGGTTTCTGAGGAAAGTGGGTATGAAAAGCGCGGAGGAGGGCAGGAGCATGGACATCCGCAGAAGGAACCCAGGAACGCTCCTCGGGACCATAACCGCGCCAATGAACCAGGAACTGTAATCGACCGCGCACCAATCGAGAGTCCAGGATCCGGCTCACCTCATACTCCTCATGACTGTCAACCCGGACAAGACGGGGCCGAGGAAGAGAGGTAGTGAAGCGATTGAAGATCAGAGGTTTCAACAGGGAAACATGAAAGATATTGGAGAACCGCATCCCAGACGGAAGGGCAAGGGCATAGGCCACCGGATTCACTTTGCGGAGAATGCGGAAAGGACCGACAAAACGGGGAGCTAGTTTGGGTGTGGGCACCCGAAGATTGAGGTTGCGAGTAGACAACCACACCCGATCGCCGACCTGGTATGAAGGAGCGGGCAACCGTCTGCGATCAGCCTGGAATTTCTGGCGCTGAGCTGAGTCCCTCAAGGCCCTCTGGATCTGCCCCCATGAAGAACGCAGGGCAGCAAGATGGTTCTCCACAGCCGGAATGTCCTGTGGTGAGAACCTCTCAGGTAATACCGCGGGTTGGAACCCGTAGTTGGCCATGAAGGGAGACATCCCGGAGGAGGAGTTGACCGCCGAGTTCCTGGCAAACTCTGCCCACGGCAGGAGATCAGCCCAATCGTCCTGATGGTCTGAAATATAACACCGAAGGAATTGTTCTAAGGCCTGATTGGAACGCTCCGCAGCCCCATTGGACTGCGGGTGGAAGGCTGAAGAAAAGGAGAGACTAATACCCAACTGGGAGCAGAAGGCGCGCCAGAATCTGGACACGAACTGACTCCCGCGGTCTGAGACAATCACCTTAGGTAACCCATGCAGGCGCAAAATCTCCCTGGAAAAGACCGTGGCCAGTTCTTGCGCTGTGGGTAATTTCCTGAGTGGAATGCAATGGCACATCTTGGAAAACCGATCGACAATCATGAAGATGACCGTATGATCCCGAGACACCGGGAGGTCTACAATAAAGTCCATCCCTAGATGTGACCAAGGACGCTCCCCATTGGGAATGGGTTGCAGAAGACCCAAAGGGAGATGTCGTGGAGACTTATTCTGGGCACAGATCGAACATGCCGCTACATAAGAGGCAATGTCGGCACGGAGGGTCGGCCACCAGAATAAGCGAGAGACGACCCAACACAGCTGGTTCTTCCCCGGATGCCCGGCAGTTTTGGCGTTATGGTAGGTACGCAGCAGGCGGGTGCGCAACCCCTCGGGTATGAAACATCTACCCTCCGGCCTCCCGGGAGGAGCATCAGTTTGAGCCGCCAAAATCTGCTCCCCAAGGGGAGAGGTCAGACTGGTGCGAATGGCAGCCAGGATCTGATCTGGAGGTATAAGTGAGATTGGCTCAGAGTCCTCTCTGGACAACTCAGAGTATTGCCGTGATAACGCATCAGCCCTGACATTCTTGGAACCAGGCAAATATGAAACCACATAGTTGAAGCGTGACAAGAACAGAGCCCATCTGGCCTGGTGGGGTGTCAATCTCTTGGCCTCCGAAAGATAAGTCAGGTTCTTGTGATCGGTAAGAATGAGGACCGGAACCGCGGAACCCTCGAGCAGGTGCCTCCATTCCTTGAGAGCCAGAATGATGACCAACAACTCCCGATCTCCAATCCGGTAGTTGCACTCAGCCGAGGAAAGCTTCCTGGAGTAGAACCCGCAGGGAAGTAGGGGTCCATCGGGCGACCGACGCTGAGACAGGAGAGCCCCTACTCCCGTCTCGGAAGCATCAACTTCGAGGACGAAGGGCAACCCAGGATTGGGATGCGAAAGAATCGGAGCCGAAGCAAAGGCAGCTTTCATAGCCTCGAAAGCTATGATGGCCTCGGATGGCCACTCGTGAGGGTTACTCCCCTTCTTGGTTAGGTCAGAGAGAGGCTTTGCCAATGTGGAGAAGTTCCTGATGAACTTCCGATAGTAGTTGGCAAAACCCAGAAAGCGCTTAATGGGCCAAAGACCATTGGGACGAGGCCACTGCAGAACCGCCGCAACCTTCTGAGGGTCCATGGAAAATCCCTCCGCGGAAATTATGTAGCCCCAAAAAGGCAACCTGGGATCGATGGAACTCGCAGTTCTCGAGTTTACAAAAAGAGTCCGTTCTCATGCAATCGTTGCAGCACCTGCTTGACATCCTGGACATGGGACTCCATGGAGGTAGAGTAAAACCAAGATGTCATCCAGGTAAACCACTACGCACTGCTGCAACAAATCACGAAGGACATCGTTTATGAATTCCTGAAAAACCGCGGGCGCGTTACACAATCCGAAGGGCATCACCAGGTATTCGTAGTGCCCAGTTCTGGTGTTAAATGCGGTCTTCCACTCATCCCCCTGTCTGATCCGTACGAGGTTGTACGCCGCCCTAAGGTCGAGTTTGGTAAAGACTGTTGCTCCCTTAAGGCGGTCGAAACAACTCAGAAATCAAAGGAATTGGATATGCATTTTTAATGGTAATCCGATTGAGACCCC